AAAACAAAATATTAAGCATTAACAATTTTTTTAATATTACAATTTTTATATAATATTGTTATATAATACCTAAAAAGACCCAAAGATTCGGATGAATCATATGAATTTTTTTCAACATAATACTATGAAATGATTCCACAAGATTATTAGTCCTAATTGGACATCCATACACACTTATTTTTTTAGATATTGGGAGCCATGTACTTCTCATATATCTCATAAAGTGCAATATGTTAGGATAATTATTATATTCTTTATCCGCAATTGTCTGCATGAGATTTAAGCCTTCAGAAAACATTTCAGGTGGTGCTAATGCTAATGTCATTGCCATAGATACTATTTTATATGGTGCAGTAAGAAGTTCCAATCGCTTCCACTTTTTCAGAACAGCCTACAATATAAAAAACACAAAGTATATATAAATATAAATATAATAAACATAAATTCAAAAATTTTAACTATATCTGTTAAAATATAAATAATGAATAATCAAAACTAAGTTTTGATAACAAAGAATATTTAAAATACTTGACAATAGTAAAACCAGCAGCCTCGCAAAGATGCTTGGGGAAATTGTTTGTGAACAGCATTCATCGACGCTTTTTCGTAATCACACATTATGAAGCGCAAATTAGATTGCAGGTCTGGAGCTAATTTGATAACTTCTTTCCATATAGATTCGTAAACTAATTGTGTTCTTGCTTCACACAGAATGAATAATACTGCAATACCCTGAAAAATAATATTTTTATATATGATAACATAATTTAAAGGAAAAATGTATGTAATAAAATTATTTGGTATAAAATTAAGATACCTTATCCATGTAACGTACATGGACTGAGAACAATTGTGCAAAATTTGGTGTTCTGGGTACAATCTGAAAATTGCGAACATATATTTATACATATAAAACTATGTAACATGTATAGTGTCCCGTTTTAATTGAAACAGGCAATTTCTCGAAATCGAGGTTTTAGAAAAAAATATTTCTTACGAAACAACTGTTGTGTGGTTTAAAGAGGGACAAACAATGTTAAAATTAATTTTCGAAAAAATTGAATTTCAACGTTATGTAAAGGTCATCACCATTTTTAAAAAATGGAATTATATAATTTCTTTTCACGTAATATAATTCCTTTAGTTAGTTTGCATATAAAAAGTACAGTTATCGAAAAATCAATGGTTTACGAGATATTTCATACTTTATGTCAAAATGTGTTAAAATAAAATTTGAAATATCCCGTAAACTATTGATTTTTCAATAACTGTATCTTCATACTTTTATATGTGGAATAATTGGAATAAAGAGGAATTATATTATGTAAGAAAAATTATATAATTCCATTTAAAAAATGGTGATGATCTGTATATGATATTGAAAATCGATTTTTTCGAAAACTAACTTTAACATTGTTTGTCCCTCTTCAATATACAACTTTTGTACGAAATACATTTTCTTCTACAACCTTGCGATTTTGAAAAATTGCATGTTTCAATTAAAATTAAAAATCCTGTATAACAATAATTATATATAAC